TTTTGACCGAAATTTTTCCTTGATATTTGACAGACGTATTTATTTTTTCTATTCAAGATCAAAGAATTTTAAACGATCAAACTGGCTTCAATTATTTCCGGATTTTCTTCCATAATACTTGCATAGCAGGAGTCAAGGGGACGAACTTAGTGTTCAGGTGAATTAAAATACATAAGTTTGAGGTTTCATCAGGTGCAATAGTTATTTATAGTACTAGTATGTTACGGTGTATATAAGCCACACTGAGAAATGTTAATTTTCCCAACTGACTTATATGACGTAACACACAAGTGCCATACAAAATTTTATCCAACACTTTCATAGAATTTCGTTTCAATAATAAATAAGAGTAACTTAAAATTTCAAGTCGTCAGTGTCAGAAAAAGTAATTTAACGAAATTAAATATTACAAACGATGCGAGTGTCAACCTAAATTGTGTCTGTAACAAAGGGTTGTCACTAAACAAACAATATTTTTTGAGTTGAAATCACGTTGAAATCCTAAAACCACTGAAAAAATGGAAAATGTGGAAATTCCATCTAAAATTTTAAAAAAAAACTAATGCGGCTACTGCAGGCATCATTCCGGAGAAATCAAAATCTATATACAACAGAGAACTGAAGGAATTTCAAGATTGGAAAATCAAAGAAGGGATGACAGGAGTAAATGAAGATGTCTTGCTGGCTTATTTTTTCAATTTAATTGAGAAATTAGCTCCATCTACATTGTGGACTAAATATTCCATGTTGAAGTCAACTTTGAGAGTTTACAAGAACATTGAATTTTTTTAAGTCGGAAGACTAGTGGCATTTCTAAAGTCTAAGTACAAACATTTTCAACCAAAAAAAAATCCAAGCTCTTAGAAAGAGAACAAATCGAACAATTTTTGCGTGAAGCCCAAGACAGAGATCATCTTATGAATAAGGTAGGTTCTACTGAATAGTCTAAGTTATATTTATTAAATTCGTTGTTTTTAGGTGGCGTTGATATTAGGAGTTTTTGGTGCTTGTCATTGCAAGGAATTGACCCGTCTAAGCATCGACAATACATATAGAGGACAAAGGGTAGTATATCCACATCACGATTTCAAATACTAAAACAAACAAACCAAGAAGCTTTACTGTGTTAAATGAAGGATTTTGTATTAATCCAATTGAATTAATTAGAAAATATTCTAAGCTAAGGCCTCAAAATGTGCAGCATAAAAGGTTCTTTTGCAATTTTCAAAAGGGAAAATGCACAGGTTAATGTGTTGGTATTAATAAGCTATCAAAAATCCCTAATGTAGTAGCACGATTTTTGGGCTTGACATATTCTAATTTATATACAAGACATGGCTTGAGTCGTGCATCTGCAATTATCTTGGCCAATGCTGGAGGGGATATTACATCACTCATGGATGGAAGTCATCTACCGTGGCAGAATGTTATATAGAAGATTCAATTTCGAGCAAAATTGATATTGCTGAAAAGATACAAGGGGTGCAGACTCCTGAAGCAAGCACAAGCAAAGGGGCTGTTCTATATTAACCACAATAACAAATCCTTTGGCATCAAATTACGGCTTGACCATAAATATTAATGTCAATATTAATAAGTAGGTAGATTGTAAGTTTGTAGCATTTTTGGTTATTTGTTGCTTTACTACTGTTTCAAATTGGTTTTCTAATAAAAACTAGAAAAATAAACCAAACATTTGTCTTTTTATGATTTCTGTAAGTCACTAGTGGGTTATAAGTCATAACTTACTAGTGACTTATGACTTATAACTCACTAATGACTTATAGGCCACATTATTCCTTTATAACCAAAGAAATTATAGTATCACTATATACAAGTGTTGGATAAATAAATTAAGGCGGTTTTTCCACGATATTTCGGTTCGATTTTTGGTCATTTTACCAAATCCTATGGAAGCTGAAGTAAAACCAACGAAGAAATCGAATCTAGCGCGTCAAAATATACATAGACAGTTTAGTGAGATCTCCCCACTTTTTTTTAAATTTTATGCTCCTGTTTTTAGAATGTTTTAGTCAATTAAATATAGACAATTGTAAGAATTTCCATTCCAGTTTGTTTGGTAAATGCAGAACAGGTTTTGAGTTACATTTAATTTTGTAATTTAATGAAATCGACATATCTCTTTGGAAGAAACTCCTTCAGGAAATCTATCAATGATGCCTTTAGTACAGTCTGTTAAGTGTTCATACACACTTCTGCTTTCTCAAACTAGTCTATTTACAACATTTCGAGTTCTATCCGGGTTTCTGCGTGGCATAGGCTAAATTTTGAGAGAAACTCCTGCGCCAGTGCTCGTGGTCGCCGTGCCAGGCGTCTTCGTGTTCGTAATGGTGGTCGTGGTGTGAGTTTTCATAGTAAATGGTCTTCGGTTTGCCATTCTTAACCAACACCACTAGCTGGGCCACGGCGACTCCAAGAATTCCCACACTAACAAGGGCCAGTTTTAGCAGCAGGGCGGTCTGCAAAAGGCCGAGCAAAAGTCCGAGCTTAGCAGTTATTGCGGCGCATATTAAGAAAATCTTCAAGTAACTTAACGCCTTCTGTTTCTTCTTCTTTTTGTTTCCCCCCCCTGAAAGTGTATTGGAGTTAATAGCGGGAGGTTTGGAGGAAACTGTTTTTTCTTATTCTTTTTTTGGTTAGTCGCATGCGGTGAACTTTTGTTTGGGTTTAGAACAATGAAGAATATTAAGGTAAACATATTTCTGCTTATTTGAATATCTGATATAGTTTTAAGTTCTTTTTTGTAGAGCAATAAACAGTTTAAAGCATCTTTATTTCCGAAAATTGGAATTTTAAAGATAAATCCAAAAATCCAAAAGCAGAAAAAAGATTAATTTGCAGAAGACTACAAATATGCAGCAGAGAATAGCAGAGAAAAGTAATATTAATTTCATGAAATTGGGAATTGAAGATAAATAAAGTAATACATAGCACACAAGTTAAGGTGTTAACTATACAGGGTGTGTCAAATTGCATAGGCCGAACTTACTCTTTGTTAAAATATATTGGATGTTAAAGAAAATGTTAATACAAAAAAGTTTTCAAAAGTGAGGTGCCCTATTTGAAAAGCAAATCGTTAGAATAGTGTCCAAAGAAGTCTTAAAATTTTGACGAATGTAGAAATCGAGACATCTATACAAGAAGCCCCTAATGAACAATTTTTATTAATGTATGTAATTCACGTTACACTATTTGCTGACCTATTATACAGGGTGATTCACAAATGGTGATCAAAAATGAAACCTCGTAATCTTTGTTGAATTGTTTTGCTATAAAGTTGTTATCTAGGACGCTTCGTTAAAAAGATACAGGGTGTTAAACTTAAAAAAATATATCAGTTTGTTTTTTAACTTTTACTCGAAAGTCAGGCTTTTTTAGAAAAATTAAGAGAGTAGTAATTTGTAGAAAATTGAAAGACGAATCGGAAAATATCATGGTTGTTACCGTAAAGCAGTGGCGTACTATTTTATTTAGAAAAATATGCCTCAGATTTTGGACAATGTTTACATAAATGCATGTACCCAATTTCAAATTATTTTACTTATTTATATATTATTTAAAAAAATTAAAAATATTTTTTGAAGTTTAACACCCAGTATCTTTTTAACTTTATAGAAAAGACTCCACTTAAAATTCCACTCCACTTAAAAGAATACGAGGTTTCATTTTTGGCCACCATTTTTTAATCACCCTGTATAATTGTGAAGTTTGTTCTTCAGGTTACTTCAGTAATGGGCATTCATGAAGCTTGTAGAAGAGAATAACTGTCATATATAAGTATAAGATATAGAAGACAATGAAAGCACAATTAAAACCAACATTTTATGAGTTTTCGAAATTAAGAGCAAACATCTTCAGGTATATCAAATTAAACGAAAAATAAGCATCCTTAATCTATACTTATGGGATCTATTTTCCTGTTTTGAAGAATTTTATTATCAGATTAAATTTGACCTATAAAATTCGATACACCCTGTGATTAAAATATATATAACTATGTTTAAGACAATTGTAGAAATAGAAATAATAGAGCATTAGATAGACATTAAATGTGTTTAGTCATTATTAAAAACTTTTATTTAATATGTCTTCAAGGGAATTGAAATCCAATTTAGATAATTTTGACATTTAACAGCTATCAAATGTCAAATACACACCATTTGTCACCTGATTAGTTATTTTCGCTTTTGTTATTTTTGCTGAAACATACGGAAATTGTTACCAAATAAATAACATTTTACCATTTACCATAGGCGTCCCTAGAAAAATGTACTAGGGGCAAGACAATTAATCAATATTGTTAACCCCTAAGAATGTGGTAGATACCCACGCAAAATCTAGCAGAAAAATAGAGTTATTGACAAAAATAAATTCAGTGTTTTAGTGTTAGTATAAAATAAGTAAGCATAAAAAATATTTGGATTTATCCATAAATAGGGGACTAGGGGATAATTCGAATTAAAAATATAAGACGGAAAATAAGGAAAAATGCATTCTGATATTTGGGATTTATATTTAGTTTATGTTTATTATTTCGAAAGTGCGTCAATTTTGGTATATTTTAATGGAACAGACTGTTCAAAATCTATTATTTCAGTAAACTAAAGTACAAAAATTTGATATAAATAGACTGTCTCACTGTTATAGACCAAATCACAAAAAAATACTGACTATGGAAATTTTGAATATACGTTTTTAAGGATTTATAGAGGGCGTTTCTAAATTGAGATGCTAAAATTAAATTTTAAAAATCGGAAACTGTTTTTTATAATACCGTGTATGAAAAATTTCAACATTTTGAAAGAAAGTTCAGATATCCAATTCAGTATACGACCAATGAGACACCCTGTACATTTCAAGTTTAGAACTGAGGAAATAACACATCTTCCTACCAAATAATAATTACTAAAGCTATCGTAAGAGTTATTTTAATCATATAAACAAGAATAAATTAATAAATAAGTAAATAATCAACGAATTTATTGCGGTTTCTGTCCCTTGTAGGCCAAATTCTGGCCGTACTCTTTCCGAATATCGTACGCCCTAGCGTTGTATTCGCCAGGTCCACCACTCCAATCCCCTGAGTGTTCGTAAGGGTTCTTGAAAACAATATTTTCGTGATCGTCGTGCTTCTTTGACCTCATGTCAAACCAGAACTTGACCAAGTTAATCAGAAAACCTCCAGCTGACACAAGGAGGAACTTAAATTTAAGGGCAGCCTCGAAAATTTTTATCAGAAGGGTGATTTTACCCACCGCTATGGCCGCTAAGATTCCGATTTTTATTATTGCTATTAGAGATTTGAGGGGCTTCTTTTTCTTCTTCTTTCTTGATTCTGAAATAACCACATTGCAAGTGTTACGTGAGAGAATTGGATGCAGTCTTATGTTAGTGGGGTCATGCAAAAATACAAAAATGGTATGTTACTAAAGTCGGTTTAATGTACTGAGGAAAATATTTATTCTGAAAATGCAGTCTTTTTATTGACAACGAAATATTTAAATAATAAAAAAAAATATGAAACGAACCCTTGCGCCAAAAAAAAAAAAGAAAAGAAAAACAGGGATCTCGGAAACGGTAAGATATACGAGCTAGGGGGCAAAGTTGCATAGTCGGGGCACCAACATTATGCCTCTAAAAAATCAAGGCTAACATGTTTAATTTTTGAAATATTTGAAAAAAACTGAAATTTTGGAAATATGTTTTTGTGTTTCATTTCGGGCTTGTTTGAGGTGATATTGAACAAAGAAGAACACTTTCTCAAGGCCACTTTTTGCCCTCTATCGAATGGCATAATCAATTTTTATATGTAACGTTTCGTCTCTCCAAGACTATCATCAATTTCATTTTTTTAAATTTTATTACATTTTTTGCAAGTTTTCATGTCCCCCAATACTGTACTGCCTCAGCCCGAGCCAGATTTAGACGTTTTGTCTCGAAAAATTCATCTTCAGTGTATTCGTCCCAAATTTATTTAAATTTTCTATTTAGATTTCTTTGTTTATTGAATTATCGTACACTGTAAGTGCCGTTAGACCCTGTGAAATCCATATATTTATTTAAACTATTACCACTACGCATTAAAATAAAAAAATTTTAGAGTTTTATTTCCGTGTTCATAATTATTTCTAGGCCTCTCGAGTGCTCAAAATTCAAACAAATTCCGATCTATTTTTTTTTCAGGATATTCATACAAATACATCTGACATGCTCTTTCACAGTTGCGGTTACAAATATAATAAATTCCGATAATATTACGCTGATCTTCATTTTCAACCTTTGCCAAAACCAAAATGTTTTTGAACATTTACTGAAATTTTTTAAAGAATAATATTCAGTTGGCGTTTTTTTAAGAATTAATTTGTCATAATAAAATTAAAATTGTAATAATGTTTTAATTTTGACGCAACAACTTTTTGAGTTACGTATGACCAAGTGATGGCAATAGTTAATAATAATAATTTATTGTAACGCGTGGTGGTAATAGTTTAAATAACTAGATGGATTTCACAGGGTCTAACGACACTTACAGTATACGATAATTCAATAAACAAAGAAATCTAAATAAAATATTTAGAAAAAGGAACGAATACACTGAAGATGAATTTTTCGAGACAAAACGTCTGAATCTGGTTCGGGAGGAGGCAGTACAGTAATGGGGGTAACGAAGGCTTGCAAAAAAACGTAATAAAATTTCCAGGGTCGTATTTAAAAAAAATTAAGTCAATGATGGTCCTAGAGCAACGAAACGTTAAATATAAAAAATTGATTATGCAATTCGATAGAGGACAAAAAGTTCTTCTTTATTTAATATCTCCTCAAACAAGGCTGAAATGAAACAAAATCGGATTTCCAAAATTTCGTTTTTTTTCCAAATATTTCGAAAACTAATCATGTTTTTGTTACCCTTGATTTTTTAGAGGCATAATGTAGGTCCCTTGATTATGCAACTTTGCCCCCATTTAAGCTACTTCGTATCTCTTACCGTTTCCGAGATCCCTGTAGTGAGAAGAGACTTTGTAACAGCTTGTGTATTGTACACTTCAAAAAGTTGACGTTTGGACTGATTCTTTTCTGGCGCAAATAAAAAAAAGTTTGTTGATAATATAAATAAACTAGTCATTCTTATACCATTTTTGTAATCGACAGAAGGGTATTACATGCGTTAAAATATAGATAAATCGATAAAATTCGTATAGAAAGGAAGTGTATTGGAAAAAACATGCCCTAAAATAATATATTTTAGAGGAAAACTTTACATGCGTCGTTATAAAAACTGTTGTACTTAATTTTTAACAGTTTGAAATTCATGCTTACTATACCTAAAATAATAATAATTACATGCAGGTAAAAAAAATGTCATGCTTGAAACATCAGTTCGTGCAGTGTGGTGAAAAATAGTTCGGTGGTGAAAAAATTGCATGCATTTTCTGTGTAGGGGTAAAAACATACCAGTTGTTTGAGATAAATATAATTTATTTTTATACTTACATTACGATTATTAAATCGGTACCTAAAGCTAAAAATAGTTTATTTGAACCATAATTATTAGTCTTGTTATCCTTATTCTGCCAATAGTTTCATTAGTATTAAAATAGATGATTTATTAAAAAGCGTTAAACATTTTTAAACTTTCTAAATCTATTTTTAATGCTTTTGAATATTTTACCCTGTATATTAATATTAAACCATGTGCAAACAAGCGTTGGTGCTCGTCCAAATCCATTAAATCTTAATCTTAATGATAAATTTCATGAAAAACGACCAAATACTTACGCTTATGATTTACTCGGAATTCTCAACTACAGTTAAACATTATGTGTTTATTCTAGTAATCTCTATCCAAACCATTAACATACTGCGCACAAAGGTGTACCGTACTGTAACACAAAATTGAGAATATCGCTTCGAGGAAATCATAAACTGAAGTATTTGATTGTACCAACAATGATATGTATGACTAATGATTCCTTAACCTTTTTTACATACAAAATTTCCAGAAGACAAATTGTTTGATTATAGATAATACAAATTTTGTTGTAAGTAATCAAAAAGGTATTTTGGAAATTTCGTACATTTAGCAAATCAACTCTGATACTCAGATATACAGGGCGAGATAGGTTAATTCCAGGCGTAATTATTATCCTTGACAGTATTATTTGTTTCGTAGTTAGATTAAGTCATTACCTCCGCTAGTAAGAAGTATATAGCGTTATGATGTAAAAATGTAACAATGACAACTTCTTCCACTCAAGAATACTGTGAATTTTTTCATGTTTTGATTTATTAATTATTGTAATAAAACCTTAATTTTCACTAAGCGTGTTTATTTCTTACGCTCTTAAGCAAATGATATCTATTTTTTTATTATATTGCTTTTTTGCGCTTATTCGCATTTCTGATTTCATTTTTGCCATATTCAAATATATCACCCTGTATACTTTCAAATCAATCAAAGATAAATGCTTCGACTGACAATTACAATTATTTTAAGTACGAGAGTTGATAAGTTGTTAAGAGGAGACTGACACAAATAAGCCTGCGTTTTTGACCCAGGCAAAGCTGTCCGAAATTGAGAAAGAACGCGTTCAGTGAGCATTTGTGGGCGGAGCTATCTCAGACGCAAGCTTATTTGTATGGGTGTGTATAATGTTTCATGCATTTATATTCTATAATTTAAATTAACGTGAGTACAACTGAGACTTCTATAATTCACTCTGTGGATTACTCTCATAAATTTGTTATTTTAACCGTCATGCAATGTTTTGTTCACAAAATTCTGTTAGTGATCGTTAATAGTTGTTTTCATTTTAGGTTGCGAAATATCGCTATTGTGTCCAAGAACGGAGTGTAGCTAAAAAAAATTGAGAATGCAAAAGCGGCTTTCTAACTGTGTGTCAACAATATTTTTTCGAAAACTGCTTGGAAATATTGTTAAAATTGGGGAAAATAGAGTAAAAATGTCGACATTTACGATAAATTAAATTGATGTTTATAATAGGAATATGTAGTCATAGAGATAAGGCAAAGTATCAGCAGTCAATTGGTTCTGAAGAATGTTTATACCGAGCGTCCCAATTTGACCTTGGCATTTACATTGTTTCAAGGTTAAACCAAAGTCAATTTGAAAATATTAAATGCCCCCCCCCCCTATTTTATATGCCAGAATTTCATAGATCGTCAAATTTTAAGTCTGAATATGGGATCAGAAAATTTTTCCTGTATTTCCTTATAGTTCATTTGTAGATTTTTACCATAAATTGCAAGTTCAAACTAAGGTCAACTTAATGTCAAATGGAGTACGCCAATGTTTATGTCAGATAGATACAGTGCCAAATTTTTTATCGGAATCTGGGATTAAGGATTTTTTTCTAGGATGTCCTTGTAACTCTTTTGAAGGTCAAACTAATAACGAATATAATAGACGTATTCAACTAATATTGTGATCTTGACAACAATTTTGAAATTTAACACCTTTGGTTAATAATTAAAATTAGTGATATGACCATTCTAGAAACCGATATCTAATCAGGTGTTGGGTCAAATCCAAGGTCACCATCTAATTTACCATTCCAAATCCTACAAATTTTGCTTGAAACAATTCTGCCGAGAAAAACTGGATATTCCATTTAATATTTTCACGATGATCTTGGTTTGATCTTGAAACTTAAGGTCAGTGTCAAATCCAAGGTCATCAAGTTCGAGCCTATTTGGAACATACTGAACCGCAATTTGGTGTAAATTGTAAGATATTATAATCAGAAAAAAGGTAAAGTTTAGTTTATATCTTCGAAACGCAACAGTCATTTGTTTCTTTATATATTTCTTTGAAATTAAAAGAAATTTTTATTTAATCTTTATTTTTTCCCATATAGAAAGGCAAAGAAGATGGGGGTGTTATGTAATTATTATTAAAATTCCTGATAGCAAGACACACATTTAGGGCCAAATTTATAGTCGTTCCTTAAGGTTAAGGAAATCCTTAAGACTTCCTTATTTAACTAGGCCTTACTTTATAAGGAAGATCTCTGTTCTATAGTTGCAGAAAAAGTACCCTTGAATAAGGATAACTTAAGAAAGTGAAAGTGAAACATATGACAAAAACACAAAAATACATGTTTCATATTTCGTGTTTGTGAACTTCATGGTGAACTTAACCTTCAATTATTTAAAGATTTATTCCCTTAATAACATTATTATGTAGTAAAAATTCATTATAGGATAACTAGTAACAAAATAATGGAGTGTACAGAAAAAAAAAACAATATTCATAAAATGAAAAAATACTTTTGCTCAGTCTTGTAGACAAATATAAAAGTATTATTGAAAATAAGGGGATTGTCATAAATAAATATTAAAAAGAAACAACAAATTTGGACAAAAATTGAGAATTTATACAACGCATCATCAAGTACAAGAAGATCTGTAAAACAATTAAAAAAATAGTGACAATTTAAAACAAAAGTAAGTTTTTAATTACTTATAGGTAGGTATATATTTTTTTTAACATGTAACAATTCCAACTTCATAGTTATCTATAATAATTCACGAATATAAAAATTTGATAAAACAAAAAACTCAAATTATAATAATATGTCCAAAGACCATAAAGTATAACAAAGGTTAAAAATATATTAACAAATGTCAAATACATAGATCTAATACATATAAGGTATAAGGCAAGTTTGGTATTAACATCTAGTTCTAGACGCTCCAGATGTGTTTTGTTCTTTTGTAAGAGATGAAAAGGCAAAGAGATATCTCTAGAGCATCTAGATGTCAATTTAAGGTAATCTAAACCGAATACAACAGAATTTGCTAAGTAAGGACACCTAAGTCCATAAGGAACGACTATAGATTCTACCCTTAGAGGCTCAAGATGTTTTTGGTCATTTCAGATTTCATTTTGTATTATATAGAAAATACTCTTAACTTTTCTTTACTAAAAATTGTACATTTTTCATTAAATATGTTGATGTATATGTGTCAACCAAGTGGTATTAATAAAATAAGAAAGACTCCAAGAAAAACTATACCGGCCATTCTTTCAGACGCTCTTCTGCGACAATTTTAGCTAACTTTGGGACAGATATTATCTTCTTCGAAAGACACTGGGGACAAGTCTACCTCAGTAAAATTCAAGTTTCAAGTAAAACATTTTCAAAAGTGTTCCAAGTTTCTGAATCGGTTGCTCCGTCAGTATTTCAGCTTCAGAACAAGATATGGTTTTAAGAAATGTGTCCACTTGATAATATTGGGATAAAATTTGTTCGATTGAAATAATTTCTTTTTGACACTTTGGAAACAGAATTAAAATGTCAACATTTTATAGCAGTTTTCGAAAAAAATTGTTTCCCTATAGCATGCAGCTGTTGTTTTTCTGTGACTGTCATGCCCCTTTGTATAAAGTGCTTCAGTGCTTCGCAGTGCAAATATGAGCTTTTTGTTAATGCCTGTTAAATTATTGACAATTTAGGTGCTTCAATGTGCAAAAAATTGTGCTTGTTGTTAAACGTTGTTGTTAATAAACTTGTTAGCTTATACTTTACCTGTAAATAGGTAATCGCACTATATCACTTTTCAGATAACTTTTAACGTCAAATCCCGACAAATCGTAATCCATTCGGCAAATTATAGAAAACATAAAGTCTATTATTTGATACTATTATAAAGAAACTCGTTATTTTTAACTAAACCGGGCTTCCGTTTGGAATAAGCCAAACTGTGAGCGCCATAATCGTCTTCCTCTTCGTATTGCCTGGCCCAGTAACCACCGTCATCCCCATCGTAATGCGAATGGTGCACCGGTTCGTAATGAACGACCTTAGGGGGGTTGTAACCCCTCTTAACGTCGAGCCAGAACTTGACCAGGTGCAAAATCAGACCGCCGAGGCTTACCAGGAACAGTTTGAGTTGCAAGGAAGCGTGAAACAATTTGAAAAGGAAATTTACTTTAGCCACTACGGCGGCTGCGATTGCGGAATATTTGAGGATTTCCTTCATCTTCTTCTTCTTCTTGTGTGCCCTGTATTCTGAAATACAGTATTTGGGTGTGACTTTTTTGCACTGTAACGGAGTTTGGGACCCCAACCAGTTCTACGCCAGAATGTACATGAAGAAAAAATGTTCCTAATCACTATAGAAAGGGATTATATTTGTTGGTATTTTGGTACTTCCTCTGAGGATAACTACTGAAGAAACGTACGTATAGAGGACAAAAGAATTCGAAGAAAACTAGTAACTTGTAGAATAAACTGTCAATAAACTGACAGCAATAGGAGAAATCTTGTAGTAACCAGTTTTACTTTACGAAGTAACTAAAAGTCTATATCCAATCTAACTTACAAAATATACAAATGAAAGCTTAAATACAGTAGAATAGTGAATACAACTTACAACTAATACATTACTGGTTAGATTTATTGGGAAAAAAAAAGAAAACAATTGTTGATTTTGACCACAAGACTATTTCTTTTCTGGTTATCTCAAAAATAGGGTGTAACAACGACGAATTTGTTTTTCTATTTTAAATTAAAGAATATTTTCTCATATAAACAATTACTCTTGGGTCACTAGTTTTTAGGGCGTGCAAAATTAAAAAAAGTGTTTTATTTGTAGATATCCTCCAAATTAATAATAGTACAGTCACCGAAGCTAAAAATCAGCTGTAACCTCCGAATACTTTGAAACTGCATGGATTTGCATGAAAATTTAAAATAGGGCTCATCTTAGGCTCAACTTCAAAAGTGACATAAGCCCGATTGACGCTTTTTGTTTTTAGGGGTAAAAACTACCCCTAAGTGAAAAAAATGGAAAAAATTAAGTTTTAAGCATTTTATTGATAAAAATCTTGTTCAAACTAAGATTAAATAATGTTCCATGTTCTCGAACATGTTTTATGATATATTTGATCTTTTCGACCCTGATATTATGATAAAAAATTACTATTTAAAAGCTTGTAATGCTCTAACGGTGCAATTATTTAAAATAAAAATTCCCTCATTGCTTATGAAAGAATTTGTATCTCATAACACTTTTCAATCCTTATAAATCACCCCGTGCTAAAAAAATGATAAAAAATTACGTTTTAAATCTTGGAATGCTATAATTGTGCAATAATTTAAAATAAAAATTCCCTTATATTGTTTATGAAAGAATATTTTACTTTTGCCATTTTCAGCTCTTATAAACTACCATTTTACCAATATTAATGTAAAATATTTTTATTATAATCGATTTTTAAATATAATCAATCATAACAAAAATTGCTACGCTGTATATAAATAATCACATTATTTTTTTTACTTATTTTATTTGTATAATATAATATATAATATATAAAAATGAGAAAGCCTATTTTGCTCCGAAAAAATGTCGGTTTTTTTTACCATAACTCGGTTAATTTTGAAACTATAGTATCATACAAAAAAGCATTTTAAAGATAATTTCAAGAGCTGTAAGATCGTTTGCATATAATCGTTTTTTAAAGGGAAAGGATCGAAGGACTCGAGACAGGTCGTTTTTTCACTAAAATGGATACACAAGCGGCGATATCTCCTTCATTTTTTATGCTATACGAATAAAAAAAACAAAATACTTGTTGAAAGCTACATTTTTGTTGTCTATCAATTTTTACGTATCTTTCATAATTTCAGAATTATTGTATAAATAAGGCAAGTTTTTTTGAATAATGAAAAATACGTTTTCAACTTTTACCGTACATTATTAAAAAAATACGCATTCTAAACCCGTCTAACTTCAGGATCGTATGAAAAACACTAAAACAAAACTAATTGTAAAGGGTCTACGATTAATTTTAATTCTGATGGAAATGGTACAGCGTTTACTGCTCATTTTTCCTTAAGAAATATGTATCTGTTTTTGACGATAACTCCTTCAGTTTTGCGTTATACACGTAGAATTAATCCTTTTTTCGTTATTTGATGTTGAATACATCGATTCGAGTATTCCCCCCAAAACAAGTCCCCTTCCACTAACCATATTTCGCTTTGTATAGGACGTACAACACTTTTTAAAAAACGATTTTCTTTGTTTTTTATAAGCTACATTTTTGTTCATTACACTTTTTTTTAATAAAATGCGTAGTTTTTGAGTTATTCGCGAAAAATACTTTGAAAAAGTGTTTTTTTTTCATTCAAAATTCCAAGTTTTCAATTGTGAATAACTAAAAAACTATTGATTTCTCGAAAAAATTCTTCGAATATTATTTGCTCAAAATTTGATTCTCTATCGATATTTTTGAAAAAAATTCCACCCCCGAGAAGGGGTGTCAACCCCCAACAGGGTGGAAGCGTCAATCGGCGCTATGTCACTAATGTTCATTGACCTTTTCTCTAACCATCTGCCAAATTTCAAGTCGATCGGTTCAGTTTCAAAGAATTCGAAGGTGAAAAGCTTCAATGACTACTACAAAATATATTGATACGAAATATTGTGAGCACTGTTCAAAATGAGAAGTCTCCATACATTTTTCAAAAATAATAAACAAAATACGTAATAATTACAAAATGCTTTTATAGATATTTAGAATAGATATAAATTTTTTTAACTGTAACACTCTGTGTCTCAAAAACAAGATGCTATAATATATGGCGTTCCAGAAGTATGTAGCAAACTTCTAGCACGCATTTAATGCATCGAAAACAACAACTTTTGTCTAGTAATTCGAAAATAGGCTAAATCTGTGGTTAAGTCGTGTGCCGCACTATGCCCAAGATACACAACGCTACCGACTGCCATAAAAACAAGTGCCAAACACTCGACCAAGCAAGGCGTCAAACTCACACGCAAGAACGACAATGTCCCTCAGCAAAAAATCTGGATCGTTCGCTGGCATGCCAGATCAACAGGGCACGCATTAGAGACTAGGGTATCGTATCGAATAAATTGATCGATGCGAAGCTTCACATCAAAGACAGATATGCACATTTATTGTACAATGACACGGATTGGGGGATTACTAAAATGTGCAGCTTTCCGATCTCTATACATTACATTACATGCATATTTTTTTATCCATAGGCAGCTCATTTAAGGGGTACGAAATACTATGACGAAAATGTGAGTTTTCGGAAAAAAATATTACACAGAACTTGTTGTTTTTGATGAAGTAAACACGTGGTTTATATTATGGCACTTATTTTCGGTACACCTTATATAAGGAAATATTCTTAAATTTAGACGAGAAAAACGTTTCTCCCTGCTGATACACCCCGTACAACTTTTTCTAATTTCGTTACCAGAACAGTCTTAGAAACAATTAGATAAAAACACTTCCAATAAACCAACAATAATATCTGTGAAAATAGCAGTAATGTATGGTCATATAAACGTCGCTAATTATTATAAAGGATTATGAATATTTGGTGACAGCTTAATAATGTCGTCGGTATGTTGCTATAACTTTCCAAATTCTAGATTTTAAGTAGGTTAAATAATTACACATAACAAATTTGTTCAACATAAATAAACTATTATACAGAATGTGGCGAATATTTTTTTAAAAATAAATTGACTTTGAGATACCTAAACATACAATTAAATATAAAAATAGAAGTTATATATTTAATACATACAAAATTGTAATCCAGTAACAGTAAACAGTTCGTTTGTACATTGAAAAAAATACTCTACATCTATACTACAGTCATTAAATATGTACAAATATAATAATATATAGAAGAAATATACAAGAAAACATACATTGATTGTCATTGACATGGCAAAACATATGTAGAATCATGTAAAGTTTTATGTCAGTGATGATAATCATGATGATGATGATGATGACGATGATGATATGAATGTTTTTGTAAGAAGTATTTTCTCGTATATAATGAGAAATTTGCAGAAATGAAAATTTTTGCAAAACAAATAAAAAATTTGCAAATTTTAAATGCATTTTGATTTTTTTGAAATACCTATAGTTCAAGGTGTCCAGGAACGAATGGCCAATCTCTTGGATTTAAATAGTACTTGCAAAAATAACAACACAAATTTATATACATTTTTTTTCTTCGACCTCATCCTGTAATTATTAGTTCTTGATATTCAATGTTTAAATCGACGTTTCAATACAACCTTTTTTTTATTAAATTTAGACAATTTTCACTAAATTTAAAAAACTTCTGATTAAAAGCTGTTATTTGAACCTATTTCTACTAATATACTATGTTTATCATGAACTGTTTTGAAGGCCTGGTACGGAGCACTTGTCAATTTTAGACCCCAAAAAATGTATGTTTTTGACATTTTCATACTGTTCTTTATGCCAAAAGAGTGTACTTGTTTGTTATAAATAAAATTTAAAAAAATGTAATTTCACGGAATTTTCAAAGGCCTTCATTCAAAATTGATCATGATATTTTAATCAATTAATTCAAAATGCATCAAATTTCATTAGGTTATATTTATGGGATAGAGGACATCAGAGGTTCCGCAGGGATCAAACTGCAATATTAGTTATTTATTATTCAAAAAACCAAAGGAAATATATATAAACCTGCGACATTATTGTTGCAAGATGTACCCAAATCTGATTGACCACCATTTACCCAGGAAAAGTAATGTATTCCTTTTATTTTTATATTACAAAGAATATGTTCAATCACTTCTACTGTGCAAACGATCTACTTTTTATCTACTCTCTATTGAAAATCTACTTCTACACAGTGTTTCACAACAACAAAGGCATACACATGGACAACGCTAGCTGTCCTTGTCCATGGGTTTGCCTTCTAAAAAAAAACTACGGACAGACCAACGCCCGATTATAATACAAACCTTCTTTGGCCGCTCTGCTCGTACCATTATCCTGACCATCGGAGTCCACCACTTCGTCATCTTCTTCGCTTTCTCTGGCACCAAAAAAGTTGAGTAGACTGTCCCTGAACAGACCGGATAGCTCTGACAACAGTTTTTCTATCGATTTGGCGACGTGTGATGGAGTGGCGTCTGGATCCGCCCGACCTCTTGATTTCAGGAATTCAGAATCGGCTTGAGCTGAAAAACAAGAAGTGAATAATGAGAAATATGCCGAAATTATATCGTCTGGAGTTACATATTTACAATCAAGGGTTATCTTTATGAAAATATTGTTGTCCAACACCGAATAAAATAGATAAATACAAAATACAAAAAAATGGTCATATAATTCGATTGGGTTTAACCTAAATTTTGGGGAAGGTAAATAATACCCTTAAAGGAAGATTAAAAGATGCTTCAAATTATTCTGTTCTTGCAAAATTGTTATAAAGTAAAAATACAGGCCACTGTTCAGGGTGTTCCATTTTTACTAAGTTTAACAGTTGATATAGAACTTGATTTTTAACAAAAAAAGCCATTTACTCAGAACCCTTTAACTTTATGGTAATTTTGCAAAAACAGTATTTCGTTTAAAATTTAAAAATGTCATAAAATGACTACCCACCTACTACGCCACTGCTGGTTGTAGTGAATCGTTTGTAGATCACTTTTGGAGAACATTATGTCGCCAGAAGACATACCTAATTTGGTTTCATTATTACTTGCTGTTTTTTTAAATATTACGATAAAATTGTAAAAAAAAAAAAATTTAATTTGACATCCTGTATCTGGGTTAGGAGACGATTTACGACTTACGATCATATGAACTATTTTGTTAAAAAACAAGTTGTCTATTAACTTTTAAAGTTAACATGTTTAAAAAAGGAACACCCTGTATAATGACGTGTATTTTGTATTTGTCTGCTTCTTCAATGTGAGATTTTTGGTTAGGCCAAACTATTTTCATAAAAATAACCGATGACTAATCCTTTTGGCGAAAGGTTTTGTTTAATTATATTTTTAATTTTTTCAAAGGTGGCAAAGTATTGCAATAAATAAGAACTGTCTAAACCGCATATTCCTATTTCTTTTAGTTTAGGTACTACTGAGATTTATTCGGAGAACTGAAATCATAGTTTTTTCCAAAAACAGTCGAATATCTCGGAAACCGAAGGTTCTAGGTACCATGTACGGTCTACAAAGTCAACCTAAAATTAAGTGAGGAATCCGCAAAAGCACTTATATACAGGGTGTTCCATTTAAAATAACGAAGTTATGTATCGTCCAGAAGAAACGAAGCACCCTGTATAACTGAAAATATTTTACAGGGATGCCCAATATATTTCCAGACAACTCTTATATAAAACATTTTTTTATTAAAATTAAAATAACAGAATTATGTAAGAATCCATTAAACACCCGGTATATCTATATGGAAGGTACATAAATAAAAAGTTTTGTTAACGATAATAAAAGTTTTTCGAAATGTAACCTGGTGATGTGTTTTAGTGATTAGTGAAGGAATTAATTACTTTTTCAGTGTGAAATATATTTGTGTAGCAGAAATACCAGATTAAATAAAAAGTTTTTAATTAGGTACCAGAGCTATGAAAACATGTTAAATAACAGACACTCTGTATAAATATGTAACACCTTCGGAAATTGAATTTACTAAAATAAAACTGAGATGACGACTCTTCAATGTTACAGAAAGAGTGTTCTACTCGTATAAATAGCAGATTATTGCATCCCAAAAATGCTTTTAATATTCCTCACTACGCTTCATTTAACACGTTATTAGCTCGAACTGAATTTCCCACATTTCCGAACTTTATAATTCAGCACAGATCGCGTTCCACTTCGAATAGACGAATAATTTTTGAAATTTTTTTGACCGCTAGACTAACAGTTACTCAACGCCTTTGGAATATATAATCTCTCGAACACCACGGGTATTTTTTTCGTCTGCTTTGGCACTACGCGTTACTCACTTACTACGCGACGGACGCCTTCGGAATATTAATTCGGGCACATATACATCACAGCCATGCATTTTTTTAACAGGAAGAGGCAACCTTTACCGACAGTCATAAAATTTACATTCCCAATCGGATGAAGTACCCGCCGCTAATAATAATTAAACGCGCTCTTCGTTAGTATGTATGCGTGGAGCAGGTTGGGTTTCTGATTAGCTGAATGCTTCGTACAGGGTGGTCTATCTTTCATGTCTTCACTGCTTGTTTGAGTCAGAAAAATTCGTCCCCAGATTTGTCAAATATCTAAATGGAAGCTTACTAGAAGAAACCCCAGGAATCAGCAACTCTAAAATCAAAGATATGTGTATATAACAATCTAGAAGGATTCTTGAGCTACGTCAGCTCAAGGAGATGGAATAAAATGGTACCATGTTGTTCCTAGGTGTCATTTTCGAGAAAAAACTGGACTGTGTTCTGGGACACAACGTTTGCATAAAGCTAATTCACATAGAAAGATACCTAAACCATGAACCTCATCACCATCCAACCCAGAAACAAGATATTATTAGTACATTGGTACATCGAAGCACGGAACTGTTAGACGAGCAACTACAGCATTTAAGAAGAACAAGGAAAACAACATAAGATAGCCTCATTTTAAGGAAACACAATGTTATACCATCTATAATGCTTCAAGGAAGATAAAGATAGCTTTTCCAAGATGAATCGTAAGAATGATCTATTTCAAGGTCGTGGTGTATACCTACAGCAAATAGAAAGATCTATTACTACGAGGTTAAAAAAGTACAAGTTGATTTAATGAATAGCAACGTAGAAAAATCAGGAGGTTCTAAACACGGGGCAGATACTAGGACACCCGATAGATTGAACTAATATCAGAATTCTAGTTAGAGAGAAAGAGAAGACTTTGCTGAAAACTTTAAAGAGAGAAAATAGAACTAAGAAAATACTGGAGTGTGTGAACGAGTTTTCTTTGAATCTTGTCTCAAAGAAATCTTGAGAAATTTATGAATGTGTTTACCAAGGTTTTATGGACGAGTGCAAAGAAGAAACATTAAGTTGTATTTAGAAGATGTACTGATGGTGTATTTCTCAAATTTAGCAAATAAAATGAAGCCGTTAACGTTACTAACGGTTAGAGAAAAAGAAAATTCAGTGGCATAGAAGTACTAAGGACCCAAAAAAAAAACTGTAGACCTGAATCTCCGCTACTGAATCATATCATTTGTCATCGCAATATTCAAATCATGCAGACGTATGATATAATATTCTGTACCAAATTCGAATTCATTTGATCAGGCCTTTTGGAAGATATTAACAAAAGCAAATTTTTTCTTTCTTATTTTTTTATTACTGCTTGCTTTTAAATCAGAAAATGGTTCTCTCTGCACATTTTATTGATTACAATACAGTAAGTTCACATCTAGGAAAATTATTTAATAATATGTATTGAACAAAGTTATCAAAGCATGGAAAACTATACTGAACTGTACTGTAAAAACATTGTTTAAACGCTTTAGTTTCTAATCAAATCTCAATCCGAATCTAGGGCTAAGAATAAAGGCAGATAGATTATTTACTGTTTTATAAATATTTATAAATTTAACACAATTCAAAGTGGATATGTATTTATTCAGTGTAGGCGGTAATATTCAGTGAAAATATTTATTTTCAGCTCATTTAAATACATGCTGTTATTCAACTTTATGGTGAGATTATTTTAGGACCAAATAATAGTAACTCAAAAAGGCTAATTTATTATGTTACTTGTGCCAATTTTTTAAATTGTAGTTGCCGATACAACCAAAATCGGAGAGTTTTAAAATATATTTCACGAAATTCTAGCATCACCAAATAGCACTTGATTAAAACTACGTTATACTTCGCTAGGCCCATACAATGAAGATAACTGACTAAGTGGTTAGACCGCTATAAAATAAGTTCAAGTTCAACTAATTGTACAAAAATCTCATTAAAACCATCAAATTTAAAACACTTTTTCTAACAATTTTAAAAGGCGTAAGAATTTAAAATAAACTATTAGCACAATATAAAACGAGTGAACCTTCGATTTGGGCATCCAATTTGTTATTAATTTAGTGCTACAAAACTCTCTAATACGCTTCGCTTCTGAAACACAAAATACCTTCATATTATGAATGCTAAATTAACATGTAATTTTACATAAACGAAAAAAAATCATTAAATTTTACTCAAAATAAAAGTTATGGAGTTTACAAAGTTACAAAATAAACTACTACATACTATGTTTGCACACAATACCTTTTGGCATCAGGAAAATTACAATGTAATTTTGCTTAATACGGATATAACGACCATCTAATACGTTTACTCAAATCAGAAAACTTCGTGGAAACGAAGAATGTTAACCTAATTATCTAATATGTGTAAGCAACACGTTGTTGAGGTAAGAATTAAAATAAATTAAAATTAAATTTACTCAATACTACTACCCAATACGTTTATTTAAAGCGGAAAACCTTGTAGAGACGAGAAATGTTAAATTACAATGTAATTTTACAAAATATCCTATCTAATATTTGTAAGCAACAAAAACTTAGTGTCATACGTTTACATAAAACAAAAAATCTTGTTGAAGCGAGGAATGTAAAATTACAATGTAATTTTACACGATACTGAGAGAAACGATTATCTATGACGTTTTTGCAAAAACAGAAAATGTAGTTGAGACGAAAAGTGGTAAATTACAACGTAATTTCACATTATATGCACAAAATACTATCCCATACGTTTTGGCAAAAGAATGTTGGGGGGATAAGGACTTATTAAATTAAGAAAAACGAGTATTTAATAAGTTTATGTAACATAAAAGTTCTCGTTAACACAGGGAACGGTAAATGTGATAGTAATTTAACATTTTACGTAACAAGAAGAAAAATAACTTTATGAACAGTAAATTTGTTTTGATAGCGTTTATAATAGCACCGTTTTTGAATAATTTTACATAACTCAGAGAAAATATACTGTCTAATAAATTTACAAAAAACGAAAGATTTTCTTAAGTGAGGAATGTTAAATTTCAATGTAATTTCACATAATACTCAAAGAAACGACTAAATAATACGTTTACACAAAGTAAAAGACTAAGAAACGAGGGATATCAAATTACATGTACAAATGTATATTCTTTAATTAATAAAATCATAAGTTTAGAAAAAA